TAATTTCAGAAGTCAGTGTGAAGCCAAGTTTGCGTTTATTAAGGGATGCTAACGTAGATTTAAGCAGGGCTTTAATAGAAATAGCAGCTCTTACAGAAGTGGGGGTGTGGGCGTCTCAAGACAAAAAAGATCACTAAATATATACAATGCTGGTGGCTTCTGATTGGTCAAAGGTTTCTAAAAAAAACTTTGTTTTTGGAGGAAGGGTTTACTAAGTTTTATGTGTATGGGTGTTTTGCAGGCACTTATTCGAGGCCAGAACAGGGTGATTTTTAACTTTTGTCAAACTTGTATAACCACTCTCTTTTCAATCATATCTAACTCCAGATTTCTTAGGGCAGAAAGATGGGCATTATTGTAGCACTTGGAAGTTCTTTCGGACAATCCTTTGAATGATATTAAGGCCTTGTCTACAATACTTTAAAATAGTGCTTTTTTTTTTTTAAGTCCAAAGGAGCCCTTCTCCTTTTCACGAGAGTCCAATAATCACGCATTTGTTTTTATACTCCTAGAACTTAGAAGGGCTCGTAAAACATCTTAGGGGCTGCATCTACTACTCAATGTCACTTGAACGAGTAACAAGATTTCGTGTACTTTAGTAATGCACACACTTCTGTGATCCAAATCATAATTCACTGATTTAAGTTGTGAGGTTTGTCGCCTCAGCTAGGATCTGAAGACGGGAACCAAATAGTACGTTTTAGATCTAGCAGACAACCGGAACCAAACCTAGGCGCAAGTAAAAGGAAGTGCAAAGGTACGTGAGCTGCGACGGTCGTCCAATCAGAGTCGGGGGCGGAACCGGCCCTGCGCGGTGGTGCGCATGCCCGGCGCCCGGCCCGCGGTTGGCTGGATGAAGGCGGGAAGCTCGAGTTGGTCGGCGGCAGGCGTCTGAACCGCTGTGGGCGGCTCGCGGTTTCTGTCAGCGTGCCGGGTAGGTCTCTGCGGCGGAGGCCCGGGGAGGCGCGAGCAGGGCCTGGTGCAGGATGGCGCAGGTCCCGGATGAGCGGGGCGGCGGCAGACCCCGCGCTGGCTGCCTTGCAGGGGCAGGGGGCGGGTCCTGCAGGGAGGGCCCCCGAGGCCGCCTGGGGCCTGAGAACAGCAGGTGGCAGCCAGGAGGTTGTAGAGCCGTCCAGCGTCTTCCCTTGGCGAGTCACCTGGTTCTCTCTTGCCCTTCTCTCAGCTCAAAGCTTAAACAAACAAACAAACAAACAAACAAATTACATTAATTATGGAGGATTTTGTTTAAGGCAAACACGATGTGTTCCAGATATCTGCCTGGTCTGGCCGTTTTCCTGGGGGAAACCTAAGATTTAGTCAGGTTCGTTTTACAAGCCTCAGAAATCGCAGCATTTCAGTAGAGCTGCCAAGTGGCTTTATTTCTAGGGCCTGTAAAAAAGGTCTCAGCAAAGCTAGTTTACAAACTAGCTAAAGCCTGGCAGGAGATGGAGGATCTCAAGTTCAAAGCCAGTCTAGGATCTATAGAGAGCCCTTGACTCAGAAAACAAAACAAACTAGTAAAGATGCTAATATGTTTGGGGAAATAAACTGATTTCTGCAGTTTACTTTTAAATGCATCAACAAATTAGATCAACAAACCACCAGTTTAATAATTTGCTTTAAGATTGTGCTTGTACTAATGGTTTGTATTTGAAGAAATCACAGAGCATGACCTCCACCCAAATCTTTTAAACTAGTAAAAACTTACATCAAATAGTTAGTGTATTTCATTTTAGCATTAATGAAATTGAGATGTCTAGCTAGCACTGCAATGAGGGACTGATTTTTTGACTATATAAAATAATGGTATATTTAAAAGTTGTTGGCATTTTAGATTTAACAAAGTATGATAAATTTAACCAGTATAGTTTATTATAAAGATAACGTCATCCTTGTGGGAAATTTGAAGTTTGAAAAGTTAATCTAACATGCAGAGATAATCAGTGTTAATGTCATAGCACATATTTTGCTAGTCTTATCATGAAATTATTTATATTTCTTAAATTTTTATTATATTTTTTGTGTGTATGTGTCTATGTGTATGGGTATGCCTGTGCCATGATGTACGGATAAAAATTAGAGGATAACTTGTGGGAGTTGGTTTTCTTCTACCACCTACATGGATTCCAGAGATTGAATTCAGGCTTCTTAGTCATCAAGCTTGTCTTTATCCACTGAGCCATCTTACCAGCCCAACAATTCATTTGTTTTATTTATATCTTATGTTTATAGGCCCAAAGAAAACAATTTTAAAGTTACAATTTTACATTTGCTTGTAAACACACAGCCTCACACACCATAGTACACACGCAGCCTCACACTATGATGATGTGTGAGGGTGCGTGTGTACTATGATGATGTGTGAGGCTGGGTGTACTATGGTGTATGAAGCTGCGTGTGTACTATGATGTATGAAGCTGCGTGTGTACTATGATGTGTGAGGGTGCGTGTGTACTATGATGATGTGTGAGGGTGCGTGTGTACTATGATGTGTGAGGCTGCGTGTGTTCTATGATGTGTGAGGGTGCCTTGGGAGTTGGTTCTTTCTTTTTGCCATACCTTGTGAGTCCTGGGGATTGAACAGGTCATCAGGCCGATGACAAGTACCTTTAACTGCCAGTCCAGTTTATAGGCCCCAAATAATAATATTATGTAATATTTTTGATGTACTTACACTATAACTATGACTTGCTATATTAGACCAGATGGCACTAATAATTGACTCTCAAATTTTCAGAGTTTGAAGCCGTGTGTGTGTGTGTGTGTGTGTGTGTGTGTGTGTGTTTGTGTGTGTGTGTTTTGAGACAAGGTTTCTCTTTGTAGCCGTGGCTATTCTGGAACTAGATCTGTAGACCAGACTAGCCTAGAACCAGAAATCCACCTGTCTGTGCCTCCTGTGTGCTTGGATTAAAGTTGTATGCCACTGCTACCACCACCACCTGGCTTGGATTTATATTTTTAGATCAATTTTTAACAAACTTTTTTTTGGAGTTTATATCTGTGGGAAACAATGGGGCAGTTTTTCTTGCAGCATGAAAAGTCCCTAGGTAGTGCACATTTGAGGGGCCTACGCTGGTACCTGGGAGATGCAGAGTGCTCATAAGTAAGGATAAGGTAGAATTAAAGAAAGAAGCATTTCAACTTCGTATGGAAGAAAGAGTGGTCAAAACCCAGAGGAAAAGAGAACATGTTTAGATGGAGGAGCTGCAGTAAAGACTCAGAATTTTAGGAGTTTGTGAAGACTATTCAGTTGTGAGGATGGGTATATGATGATGTATTCTTCTAGTATCTGTTTATGGACAAGTGGATTTTTTTTTTTTTTTTGCTATAAGTGGTACTAACATACTTATACATAATCACTTAAGCATATTTTTGATACTTCCTTATAATAAAAGTTAAATTTCTGAGTTAACCAGATGATTCTTGTAACTATGTATATGCTAGGCAATGGTTGTCTAATGTTTTGTAAAATTGCAGTTAAGTATTGGCTACACACACACACACACACACACACACACACACACACACTCGGAAGCTGGATGTCTCAGCTGGCTCAGCTGGTCTTCAGTATATGCTGAAATCTTGAAGGAGTGATCTCAAATGCCAGTGAAGGGATGAAGTAGCCAGGGTGAGAGAGGGGGAAGGACATGGTGGGGGGTGGGAGACGGCAAGGAAAGGAAGCTTCCTTCTTCCATGTCCTTTATATAAGTTGCCAGTAGAAGGCGTGGTCCAGATAAAGGTATATTTTCCCACCTCAAGAGATCTGGATTAAAGGTGTATCTTCCCACTTCAAAATATCAAGATTAAATGTAGGTCTTCCTACTTCCCATGATTTAATTAAGAAAAAAATCCTTTGCAGTTATACCAGGCACTTGACTTTTAGTGAATTCTAGATATAGTTAAGTCGACAACCAAGAATCCTCACAGTTACCAAGGAAATTTACATAAAAAGAACAATTAATTTGGGCTGTAGGGTTCCAGAGGGTTAGAGCTCACGGCCATAATGGCAGGGGCCACAGCAGCAGGCAGGAGCAGTAGCTGAGAACTTCCTGATTTTCAACCACCGAGGCTTTTGAAATCTCAGCCCAGCCTCAGTGTTACAACTCCTCCAATAAGGCCACACCTACCCATCTTTCCCAAAAAGTTCCATCACTGTATTTAAATACTTGAGTCTATGGGGACCATTCTTATTCAAACCATTACAGTAATGGTGAAGTAAACAGACATGATTGTTGTTATGTTTTATTCATTTATATTTTTGTTGTTGTTTTTTGAGACAAGAATTTTTCTCTGTAGCCCTGGCTATCCTGGAACTTGTTCTGCAGACCAGGCTGGCCTTGAACTCATGGAGATCCACCTGCCTCTTCCTCCTGAGTGGTGGGATTACAGACATGAGCCACCATGCCAAGTCCCCTTTTCTTTTTTTTTGGTTTGTGCACAGGTGTAGGTCTGTGTGTTTGTGTTTGTGTGCATGTCTGTGTTTGTGTGTGTGTGTGTGTGTGTGTGTATGTTATTACTCTTGCCTGTTTAGGTGTGTGTGGTAGCCAGAAATTGATGTTGAGATTTCTTTCTCATTTGTCCATCTTGTTTTTGAGATGGTCTCTCACTAACCTAGGAGTTTTGTCTGCAGCAGCTGGCTAGTGAGCCTGAGCTGCACACCTCTGCCTCTCTGGAGTTCCTGATGCATGCTGCCTCTGCAGTGACTGTCACATGGGTATCGTGTATTGCCACCTTAGGTCCTCGAGTTTGCACATCACTACTCTGTTTACTGAACCATCTCCCCTACCCCAAGTTTTCTAAGGCTTATTTCTCTATTTATAAACGATTATTCTTATTTTATATGCATGATTGTTTATCTCCATGTGTGTATATGTACTTTGGTGCCTTCAGAAGCCAGAAGAGGCTGTCAGACCCTCTGGGATTGGAGTTACAGACATTCGTTCTAATCATGTTTGTGAATGGTTTCTATTTTGTTGTTTTTCAGGTTGGTATTGCTGAAGATGAGACGATCTGCAGCACCAAGTCAGGTGCAGGGGAATTCCTTTAAAAAACCAAGATTCATACCTCCAGGAAGAAGCAATACAGTTGTGAGTAAGGAGATTACAAAGATGAGTCCAGATACAAAACTGTTGCAGGTAAATAAAAGAAGGGGATCATAATAGGATCTCTCTCTCTCTCTCTCTCTCTCTCTCTCTCTCTCTCTCTCTCTCTCTCCATTCCCTCCTCCCCCCCCCCCTCCCTCCCTCCATCCCAAGCGTCCCTCCCTCCTTCCCTCTCTCCCTTCCTCCATCTCTCTGTCCCTCCCTCCCTCTGTCCATCCCTCCCTCCTTCTCTTCCTCCCTCCTAAAACTAGGTATGATTCCTCATACCTGAAATCCAGTCCTTTCAAAGGCTGAGACAGGAGGATTGTCATAAGTTCAAAACTAGCTTAGGATTCATAATGAGTTCAGGCCAGCCTGTTCTGTATAGTGAGACTGTCAAAAGCAATCAAATAAATGAAACAAAGAAACCAAACAACAAACAAAATAAAACCTCACAACAAAAGTAAAACCTATTAGAATTTTCAGTGGCTCTGATAAAATCTTCTAGAATTCTTACAAATAACAATGTGGCCTTTTGTTAGTAGCAAATACAAATCTTCTCAAGGAAGTGCTACAACTTTATAGAAAGTGTGTGTCGGCTGGCAGGGTGGCTCAGTGAGTAGAGGCACTTGCCACCAAGCCTGGCAACCTGACCACAATCCCCAGGACTCATGGTGGCAGGAGAGAACTAATTCCCATAAGTTATCCTCTGACTAAATATGTGTGGTGGCATGTGTGCCCATATATGGACACCTGCCGAATACATAATAAATAAATGTAACAAAAAGTCTAGTTAGTGTTAGTTAGTGTTCCTCTCAAGTTATTGATTCAATGAATTGAAGTTTGAAAGAAACTAGTTTAAAGAGAAAAAAATACATAAGTAATTACATAATTACATAATTATTTCAGACTTTTACATCATTGTTGTTTTCTTTGCTGAGGGGGTGACCCCAGGGCCTTGCACATAGTAGGTTAGTGATTTTTTTGATGGAGCTACAAACTCAGCCTCTAGGTGTTTATATAAAGAGTAAATGTTGGGCCAGGATGATTGTGTATTCCTGTAATTTCAGCAATTCTGAGGCAAGAGGATTGGGAGTGTGAAACTTTAAAAGTTTTGACACTTTGTCTCAAAAACAAAAGATTCCTAGAAGTATCTTCATAAAGCTCTTATAAGAAAAAAGATTATATATTTTAATTTTATATGTGCTGGTTTTTTTCCTGCATATATATCTGTGAACCATGTGCATACAGTCCCCCCACAGAAGGCAAAAGAGAGCATTGGATTCTATGGAACTAGACCTACAGATGATTATTAGCAACCACATGGCTTGAACTAGGTCCTCTGCAAGAGCGGTTCATCTTTTCAACCTCCTAACTCTCTCTAGTCCTAAAAGGATTATTTTTGTTTTAGGTCTGAGAAGAAGGTTCTTAAGTGCACAGGTGGTATATGAAACATATGAAGTATATAAATTCTTCTGTATGTATATCTGTGTATCACCTCATGCTTGGTGCCCATGGAGGGCAGAAGGGCATCAGGTCCTCTGAGACTGGAGTTACAGACAATACTGAGCTGCCATGTGGTTCTGGGGAATTGAACCTGGGTCCTCTGGAAGAGAAGCTAGTGCTCTTAACTGCTGAGTTATCTCTCCAGCCTAAGTCATTTTTTTTTTTAAATTATTATTGGGGTAAACCATATAGCATAAAATGTATCTTTTTTTCCCCTGAGTCAAGTTCTCTGTACCCCAGATTGGCCTGGAACTCGTGTATCCCTGGTTGTCTTTCAAGTTGCTTTGAGCCTCCAGTCTCTGTTTCTTGAGAACTGAGGCTTTTGAGATCTTAGTGATTTTTAATTGTGCAATTTAATGGAATTGATAACTTTCAGCCATTGTGCAAGCATCCTTGTTGTTGCCAAAGCTTTCTCAGCAGCCCAAACAGAAACTTCGTACCCACCAGACAGTAATTCTACCTAAAACTCTACCCCTTACATATGACACTCAGCCTTTGGGTAGGGACCGCTACTGTCTAGGAATTTCACTCCTCCATGTAATACAAAGGGGTGGAATTGTGTGCTATTTGCCATTTGCCATTTGGGGTTTTATATTTTCAAAGCTCATCTATGTTGTACTATACACTGGATTTGATTTTGAATGTTCTTATTCTTTTGTGTATTGTATGTTTGGGTATGAGTGCTTTTTTGCTACCGTGCACCTGTGTGTTATGTGAGCTGGGACCACACTTGGGTTGTCAGGCTTGGTAGTAAGAGCTTTTAGCCAATGAGCCATCTTATTGGCCTCATTTCCTTTTTCAGACAGTTTCTTCTAGCTCACACTGGCCTTGAACTTGCTTTGTAGCCAAGGATGACCTTGAACTTATAGTCCTCCTGCCTGAGTGCTAGGATTACAGGTGTGTGCCACTGTGCCTGTTTTATATGGTTCTACCACTCAAATCCACTGTTTCCTTCATGCTGAGCAAGTTCTGCAACTAGCTACACAGCAGCTCAGAACTTTAAATCTTTTCCTTGGTTTTTAATTGATTTTTTATTTCTTTTGGCTTTTCAAGACAGGTTTTCCCTGTGTATCCCTGGCTGTCCTCGAACTTGTTCTGCAGACCATGCTGGCCTCCTGCCTCTGTCTTATAAGTTCTGGGATTAATGGCATGCACCACACTGCCCAGCTGATTTTTGAACTCGTGGTTTTTTTTTTTTTTTTTTTTTTTTTTTTGTCTGAATATGAGTGTGTTTTGCATTTCTTTCTCTCTTTTTCCCTCCCCCTTTTCCTCCGTTTCCTTAGTACCCCGTCCCCTTCCTTCCTTCCTTTCTTCCTTCCTTCCTTCCTTCCTTTCTTTCTTTTTTTTTTGGTTTTTTCGAGACAGGGTTTCTCTGTATAGACCTGGCTGTCCTGGAACTCACTCTGTAGACCAGGCTGGCCTCGAACTCAGAAATCCGCCTGCCTCTGCCTCCCAAATGCTGGGATTAAAGGCGTGCGCCACCACTGCCTGACTGAACCCGTGAACTCTTAAGGTCTGTCTCTACTGATGGACTTTGTCCAGCAAGGGAACATCTCCTAACCCTCCCCAAGCAGCACCACTGACTGAGGACCAAGTGTTCAAATGCCTGAGCCTATGGGGGGACATTTCTCATTTATATCACCACATGCAGATGACTGGGCTAAGATCAAGGTAAGGCCTAGGTTGATTTTTGGAGGTTTTAGGGAAGAATCCATTTCCTCCTCTGATTTCTTGACCTTTCTCCCTCAGCCTGTTGAGTCTCTCCTACTAGCATGCGACAGCCGTGCGTTGGCTTTCGCGGGTCAGGATGATTTTCTTTCCCATCTTCAGACCAGCACTGGGAACTGCTGCTTCTCTGCTTTTCTGCAGTCAGAACCCCATTTGGTTAGATTGGATGTGTTTGTATCATGTAAGAATGTCTTTGAAAGTTCCTAACGTACACAGCCTCTGAACCCCATGTGCCAATAGAATAAGGTAGAACATCTTGTAGATTCTGGGCACTAGGCAGTATGTTTGAGAGAGATTATTTCACTCATAGCACTTAATAATATTCCTTTGTATTCACTTACTGTGTCTTACACATTCCATTCATTAGTTAAGGAGTATTTGGTTTATTTCAACTTTCATTTAGTGGTTCTCAGGTGTAAACTCAAGGCCTTTTTCTTGGGTAGGCAAGTGCTCTACCAATGAGCACTTGAATTTTCAAAACAGCATGTTGCATAACTCAGGCTGAATTTGAATTGTTGTGTAGCTCAGGTTGGCCTTGGCCTTGTTATGTATCCTAGGCTGCCTTCCAACTCTAGAACCTAGGTTCTGGAAAAGTATCTATTGTTAATACAGATATGTTGAAACTGGTAGCTCGATTTAAATTTAGGGCATAGTATATAAAAATGTGGGAACTTAAATTTAATTCATGCATCATATATGTATGTATGTATCTTATTTTTTTTTTTAGGGTGCTGAGCAGTCACAAAATGATCCAGATGTATACAGTTCAAATCCTTGCCCCACTGAGGGAAGCCCTGGGGAAGTGGGTGACGGGGCTAGAGTAGATCCACTTCCTCCAGGTAAGACACTGATTGTATTATGTCTATACTTAAAAGTTAGATCACAGTGCTCTAGCAAGGATTAGTCAAGAATGAATGTTAATTTGATATTGTTGATGTAATACTATTGGATGTTTTGCTTCAGGTTATCTGTTGTCAAATTTTATCTTTAGAAGTTGAATTTATAACCATTAAACTAAAAGGCTGTGGCTTGGTGGTTAGAGTGTTTGCCTTGTGTGGCAAGGCCCTGAGTTTGAGCCACAGCACTGACAAAATAAGCAATCTGAACAAACCTTAAAACCAGGTAATTGAAATCTTGTGTTTTGTAGTAGGTATATGTTTAAGACTATAGGAAAATTATCGATCAGATACAATCTTTAAGCACCAATTGTATTTAAAATTCTGTTAATAAACATGTTGATACTACTAAACTAGAAGAGAAAAACTTGAAATAAACAGGTCACAACTTTATTGATACTATGTTAAGGTCAAGTCATATTTGAATTATTCAGGAAAATCAAGGATTTTACCTGTGTTCTCATCTCTCCATTGTTGAATTGAGTTAAAGTAATTATGATTCCTTTTGTATCTGCTGGAGATACAGGCAACTTGGAAGTGAAGTAGTTTACAGCATTTATTTTTATTTGGCTTTGATAAAGCCATATTTTTTTTTCACGTTTCTTTGAATGGACAAGTTCTGGGAGCTGGCCTCAACTCTAGGGCTACTGAATACTAAGGACATAATCTCTTAGCCTTTTTGTGAATTCATTTCTGTAGGTAGAAAAAGGAATTGTGTATTTTCCTGGTTATCCATCCTATTGCTTGTCAGTGTGGCTGCTGCCTGTCTGATGGAGTCTCCTTTCCTCCTTCCCTGCTCCCAGACTCCCTTTTTTCTTGTTCTGGGCTTTCTCTTTCAATGTTAGGCCTAAGACAGATAATCAATGCTGTGTGCTTCTTTTCTTTTTTTATTTCTGTTATGGTAGCTGATCTCTTCATCTGAGAATGATGTTTTTACTATGGAATATAATCTGTTACTGATTTGTGCTTTATTTGTGTTCTACATGTAATTTGTCATTCTCTTCAATACTAAATTTGAGGAGTTAAGAGGTAAAATAAATTGAAGAGTGAATTAATTCACCGAAGAACCCTTAATCCCTTTGTTGAGTTAGTGAATTCACTGGAGTGGGAGGCCTGTTCCAACCTTCTGATCTCTCCTGCCTCTTTCTCAGAAAGGTCAAATTGGAGACAAGGCCACTCACTTCAAGAAGTGTTTTGTTCTCTGGTGAACTGCTGCAGAAGGGTGTGTATAGAAAGGCATGGGGATGAGAGACACTTAGCATGTGCAGATTGTACCTCTTGACAGCCTTTAAATTCTAGATCTAATTCATTCTGGGTGAGATGTAAGCCTGCATATTTCAGTTAAGATATGTCCCCATGTCCCCACATTACCTTCTTGTTTTGAAAAATTTCCCATATGTAAAGAATTTAAATAGTTCAGTTAGCATTGTAGATCCAAAAGTTGATTATATTATGCCTCATTTATATTTTTTCCTCCTATCTCCTGTGTGCGAGGAGTTGGACCTGTGGCCCTATGCATGTTAGGCAAATTCTCTACCACTGAGTTCCATAAGATGGTTTGACTGCATTCTGCTTCCCTGAGTACTTGTCTCTTTATAGCACTGTGTTCAGAGAATGCTTTTTCTATGGAGAGTGTGATAGAAGAGCCCATTATTGGATAGATTGTATCCTAGTTAATGTTATCATTGTTGTGATGGATTGCCATGACCAAAGCAAGTTGGGGAGGAAAGGGCTTACACTTTCAAATCACTGTTCATGATTGAAGGAAGTCAGGACAGGGCTGGAACCTAGAAGCAGGAGCTGATGCAGAGGCCATGGAGGAGTGCTGATTACTGGCTTGCTCCCCATGGCTTGCTCAGAACTAGGACTATCAGCCCTGGGGTAGCCCTACCCTCAATGGACTGGGTCCTCCCCCATTGATAGCTAACTAAGAAAATGTCCTACAGGCTTGCCTACAGCCCTATCTTATTCATGCATTTTCTCAGCTGAGGTTCCCTCTTCTCAGATGACTTTAGCATGTGTCAAGTAGACATAAAACTTTACAACACAGCCCCTTTTCCTTATTAATAGTCTAACTGAGTCATTTTGGCCTGGGCCTGTGAAAACCAAATCCTGGGAGAGAGGGGAAATGTCAGTTGAGTATTTTCCCTACAAAGGCAAATTCTAAGGTTTGATAGTTGTGAATGTGACTTTCTTTTTAAATGCAGGCCTTTGCAGATGTAGTCATGTTTAGATGGGCTTAGTTTATGTTTTGATGGCTATTCTTGGTTGTCAACTTGATTATATCTGGAACTAAAACCCCCCAAATTGAAGGCCTACCCGTGTAGTGAGAATTCAGGAATTTTGTTTTCTTTAGAGTCACAGAAACATAAGACTATGTTTTTGTTTTAATCCGAGGTGTGGGGATGTGGGGCTGCTTCAGACTGCCCAAATCAACTGACTGTGATTGCCTGTGATTGTGAGATGTTTGGAATTCTGGAAATTTTTCAGAGGGTATATAAATGCTAGAGCCCCAAGAGTCATAGTCGGTGGTTGTTGGTTGTTCAGGGAAGTTGGTTGCAGTTTGTTAATAGTCAGAGAAGAAACAAAAAGGAAAGAAATTAGATTCCGGGGTCCCTGTCCTTTAGCCCTCTATCCTTCTTTCTTTCCTATCTAGTGATGGGGAGTGGAAAGGGGGAGGAGAATAAAAGGTAGAAAAGAAGAACCCACAAAGTAGCAAGGACCAGCTATATACCTGTGAGGGATTTTTGCTTAATTTGAATTAGGAAGTCAGAAGACATGCCTTTAATCCAGATCTTGAGGCAGGAAGACACTGTAGTCTGGAAGCCTGTATAAAAGGACATGGAAGAAGGAAGCTTTTGTTCTTTTCCTGCTTGCCTTTGCCGTGCTAGGAAGTCCATTCCTTCACTGGCATTAGAGACTGTTTCTTCAGGATTCCAGTGTAGAAGACCACCTGAGACATCCAGACGTGAGAACTGAGCGACTACTGGATTCTTGGGCTTTATGTTCATAGGCAGCCATTGTTGGATTGTTTGGACTGTGGCCTGTAAGTCATTCTAATAAATATCACACACACGCACACACACACACACACACACACACACACACACACACACACACACACACGTTCATTCTTTAAGTTCTGTTCCTCTAGAGAATCCTGACTAATAATGCAAAGATAGATGCTAACTTTCATGAAGGGGTTTTGGAAAGATGTGTCATTCTTTGTGGTTGACATTCATGACCAAGTCTTTGGCTTCTGAGTATTTAGAGAAGTCAAGTAGGCAAGACAAGGCCACTGGATTGTGATGGTCTGTGTGCTTTGGTGCTATTGAGAGAGGGTCAGAAGCTTTAGCAAGAGCTGTGTTGTAAGGGATTTGTTAATATGACTAAGTTAATGGAGGGACGATAGATGTGAAAGGAAGTAAGGGAATTTGGTGTGAGGCCTGGCAGAGGACTAGGGCAGATTTTTGTTTTCTGTTTTGTAAGGATTGAGAACATAGCTTACCTCCAGAACATTGGCCTACCATGTGTGGGGTCCTGAGTTCAGTTCCATGCTTCACACATACACAAAAATAGATAAATAATAAATAAATAAATAAATAAATAAATAAAGTACAAATAAACAAATGAATAAACCAAAAGAAAAAGTAATATGAGAAGAATTGAGGTGATGAAGAGAGGAGGATTTAAAAAATTCTTTTAATTATATGAATTTATGGGTTATTAAGAAATTTTGATACATGTTTACAATGTTTTTATCATGATAAAAATTAGGGTAGTTAACATTTTCATCTTTTTTGTTTTGTTTTTTCGAGACAAGGTTTCTCTGTGTAGCCCTGGCTGTCCTGGAACTAGACCAGGCTAGCCTTGAACTCTCGAACTCAGAAATCCACCTGCCTCTGCCTCCCAAGTGCTGGGATTAAAGGCGTGCGCCACCACCACCCCATTTTCATCTCTTTAAACATTAGAAAAGTAATTTGTTTAATTTACTCTCTCTCTCTCTCTCTCTCTCTCTCTCTCTCTCTCTCTCTCTCT